TAGTTCTCAACGCTGATAAACCTAAAAGTTCAACAGATCCGCATAATAGTGATGAATGGTTTATATCTATTGACTCTGCTACACAAACAAGAAATTTTATATTTGATATAAGTGAAATTTCGGCAATTAATAATAATTTAGTTAAGTTTAATTAATAGCGAAAGAAATTAATTTACAAATCTGTATATAAATAATATAATTTGTACAAAAATTTTTAAGGTTATTTATAAATATAAATTAACATTAGTACCATTCCTTGTGGGAACTGATGGTATAGAAATTGCCGAAATTTCACTCATATCAGATGTAGAACTTCTTGTTTGTGTAGTATTTATTTTTCTATTTTTGCCGGTATTATCATTGGCAGGCTTTCCAGGACTCTTTTTTTCCCCCGGAATACTATTTAACTTATTATCTCCTATTTCTATTTTGGGATAATTATTGTTAATTTGAGTCGTAAGTTCTGGTTGGTTTCCTTGTGACTTGTTATAAATTTTTTTTCGCCTCCCTGATATTTGAGAACGCCTTCCTTAATGTTAATAGTTCCTTTGATTTTTTTTTTTTAATTATGGGCATATTAAAAAATCGGATTCGAGATTTTCAATTTCGTAAAATAGTTGTTTATACCCAAAACGAATTTCTGTCTCGCTTTAAAACAACCAAATTACATATTCGGATTAAATTAGAATTATTGAAACATTCATATTACAAAAATGATTCATATCAAATATTTTTTTACAATGAAAGCAATGAAATCAATGCTCGATTGCGTGGTCAATATCTGTTTGAAGTAAGCCTCTAATATCGCTAAGCGACATTTTAGTTCAGCATGTGGAAGTACATTTTCCTCATTCCTTGCGGATTCAATATAATTCTTAATTCGTGTCATGCTTTTTTTAGTGTTGGCTCTTTGCTGCTTTAATTTTTCTGCCATTGTGATGTAAAAATATAATGTACAAAATAAATGCACCAAATACAGCAACAACTCGTTAAGTAAATGATAAACAGCAACAGCAATAAGAGTCGACGTAAATTCTGCATGCAGCGACAGCACTGAAAATTGACGATGATCGCAGTAGCAGCAACAGTATAAGAACTCCAAACAAATGCAGCAAGCAGCGACAGACTAACTGCAAAGAACCGTTAAACAAACGACAATAAACTATAAAGCGAGTCGGCGACGATGGTCTTGAATTAAACACGAGATTTAATTTAAATATAATTATATGGAGCACAAGAACCGTAGAACAAACGGCAGTAACAATGCAACAAAACGGCGACGACGGGCTGAAAATGATACAAGAACCGTAAAACGAACGGCAGCTACAAAGCAACAAAACGGCGACGACGGCCCGAAAATGAGACTGTTCAAGTTTTTATTATTAAATATACAACATATATTATATATTTAATATATATTAAATATATCACTTTCAAATGTCTAAATTATACTTTGTCAAGTATCTATCGTGCCCCACGTTGGGCGCCAAAAAATGTACCAAGAAGAATTTTTCTTAGTAAAACTAAAACCGAAAAAGAGACGACAAAAAAACACGTTGTTTTTTTGTTCGAGTTTGATCAAGACTGATCGTTTTTATTGTAATAACTTACATTGTGCAACAGGGTTGCCAATAATACAAAAACTTTCGTTATTTATGAACATTATATATCAAAGAATACTTTTACAAGAACGGAAACTCCGCCCACTTCCATCAAAACGAAGAGAAATTTATTACACTTTGGCACACGTATGGAATACATGTGATTTTACCACGATAACATCAAATTACTCTCTTTTGGGGTTGCAGTATGTATATCAATTTCTTACTACTTGCTTATCATACGCTTCCTTTTAATAATATAAAAAACTAGTGCGTACCTTATTTGGTTAATAATATCACATCACATAAACAGAATATATATTGTAACAACATAAATATATGATAAATAAATATATAAATTAATATATAAACATTTAAATCAGTCAATTTTAATCAGTTTAGTTTGCTTAATCATGTAATATGTATTCAGCAAATTCATAATTTTAATTAATTTTTTCATATAAATTTTAAAGTATTTTGACTTATTATGTTCGGCAACAAACTTTTATTTAATGATTTATATTTTCTTGAATATTTTTTGAGTGTATAAAACATTATTTTTAATATAATATTGAAATAATATCATTAAATGCTGTTATGATGTGTAATTAATAATAAAAACCGAAGCTACTACCAATTTACTTTTTTATACGGCAACACTCAAGTGGTGAATGATGAATTATATTTCTCTGCATAGGCAAATTTTTCAAATTTAGTGCTGAAAAATCTATAGATGGGTGAGGATGTACGCGCATTCGCTGTAAATTTATGTGATGAATGGTACGTATTTTTAGTTTGTATGCATTTCTAACTGATTAGTGGCGATAAATCTGTTGATGGGTGAGGGCGCACGCGCAATCACTTCAAATGTATGTGGTGAATGATGCGTATTATTCGTTTACATACATTACTATATGATTAGATTTATATGAATTTTTTAAGTAAAAATATTTTTATATGCAATTTAGTAAAAAAGTATTTTATAAATACTGAAAAATTTTTAATATACCATCATATTTATAAAATATATTTATTAATAAATATTAAAGTATTTAAGAATATTAGCTAGGTTTAATTAAAAGAAGTACAAGTTGTACTCATAATTTATTATTTTTAAGAATTGAAATAATAATAACAATAATTTAATAAATATACAAATTTATTAAAGGCATTTGTTTAAAACAATATATATTGTTTGCGTACATAAGGAATAATATTTAAATAAAAGAAATTGTCTTTTTTGAATAATATATTAAAAATATGTTCAATATGATATTAAAATCTGGGACTAGATAATTGTAACCATACATACATATATATTAAACTTTATTACCATGCATCACTTTTATAGAAAATGCACTTGCGATATACCTGAAAATAATTGTTTAAGATTACCGGATCAAAAATGCATTAAAGCCGTTAAACGAAAAAAACTTTAAGAAAATATCATATTAAAATTTTTTATAATAAATTAATATGTTTTTTATAATACACAATTCTTATTCCAGAAAAAGAATAATTTTTAAAAAAAATGTTATATTAAGGCAATTCAATTATTGTTGAAAATAAAACAGAAAACAGAAAACAACAAAATATTAATAATGCAAAATAAGCAACCTCAATTTTTGACAAAAATTGTCAAAAATTTATATTTTCTAATTTCAAGCAGTCGCAAGAAATATACGATTTAATTCAATTCAGTGTTTTTAACATGAACAAATGGAATAGTAAAATTTGTTAATTAGAAAACATATTAAAAGTTATTTTATTACATAAAAGTATTTTATTAAAAATAAAATTGTTGAATTCAATTAATATTAAATTAAATAATATTAAAAGTCTTTAAACTATTAATACCTTTGAATATGAATATTTTAATATACAAATATAATTTACATACTCCACTCTTTTTACCACCAAAAAATTGTTTACAATTTTTGTTGTTTTTTATATTTCTTATTAGATTTTTCACATATTTAACAAACACAAATTAACACATAGGACAACTTTATTAAAATATATTAAATATATACTCACATATATTTTTGCTTTACTAATTTGTATTTATACACATCAAAATAAACAAATCACATTAAACACAAAACATATATTTTAAATCCACAATTAATAAATTATTGTTTTTTTACCTTCTTTCGTCATTTTTAGGAAATTCATACATTCCCTTAAATAACTTACATCCCATCACGCAATTTCGCACCATCTTCAAATATTAATAATAATATATAATAATTTACTATAATAATAATTATAATAAATATAATTATTTTTTCAAAAAAACTTA